CAATAACGGTAACAACAGCTTTTTGACAAGTTTAAAATGTCTTTAAAATACATTCAAAATGTTTAAAAACAATCTACAAAAATTAATTTAAAGTGCAAATTAAAATATAGTTGTATCTGCAACTGTATTTGATAATGTTTTGAACTTTTAAAACATTGTATGGTAAAAACAGAAGCTGCTCTTCATATTAGTGACAAACCTTGGTGTTTTTTGTCAAGTTACTTTCATTTTTGCTTCTTCTTTCAATTTAAAATAAGTTTCCATTCTCGGCAGGTTTCTAAGGTTCTTCTTCTACATATTAAAAAAGTTGTTAAACAACTGAGTGGTGCACTACTGCTACTAGTGGTGGGAAAGTGTATTGTACCTTATTCAAAATCAATGCGGTCCAGCGGCCCTCTGCGGCCCAAAGTTAAAAACTGTTGTTCTTTTGAGGCCCTCAAGGTGGCGCTGTGGCCCAATTGCCCATTGGTTAAGAATCTCTGTTCTAAAGTGTTAACGCCTCAGATGTGAGTGTTCCAGTTTCAAGGTTTGGACACGCTTCCCCTCAAACGGCCTAAAATTCAAAGCTCACCACAAAGCTGACTAATAAATAACATGAAAAGCTGTTTGTGACAAAATGTAAACCGTGCAGGATCTGGCTCCTCTGTGCTCCAAACACAGCAGGTGACGTGGAGCCGGTCAAACACAAGAAAAAGCAAATCTTTCTCAGTCTGCAAGGAGCTGTTCGGTGATTGCTAATGTGCATGCAGATGTGAATGAAAATCACCTAGGAGAAATGCAAATGTGAAGGAAAAACAAAACAAGTCAGCACAACAGKTTTGCAGAAAACAATCCTGACTTGTGCTTGTGTGCGTCTGTAAACAATCGTTTTACAGAAACTCAAAGGAAAGAACACAAAGAAGGAGGTGTTTTAGTGAAATGAAGGCGGGTGCAGATTTGACTCTGTTGTTTTCCATGTTTGAACAGTTCGGGTACTTCTGCGTACTTTGTTGTTTTAACCATTCGTATGTCAAAACATTCGGCTCATTAAAAGTGACGGGTGCTCTGATTTGTCTGACTTTTCAAAATACTCTTCAAGTTTAGACAGGATTTTGATGCTTTCATCTTTCAGTTACCTTTACCTTTTTTGCTTCTGTTTAAGCCATTTGCTAATCTAGCTTTTGGTTATTATTCTGCTACTTTTATCATTTTTGCAACTTCCTTTTGCTGCTTTCAGCTTTGAGCTACACGTTTGCTACGTTTTACTTTCGGACAACTTTTTTCTACTTTCAGCCGCTTTAATTCTTTAATTAATTTAATGCTTTTTGCTAGTCGTTTTTTTCCCCCCCTTTTAGCTTTTAGTTGGTGTTTTACACCACATTCACACAGTGAGCCACAGCTGCCCTGGGGGCACGCTGACAAAAGGTGAGGCTGCCATGCACCGGTGCCACTGGGCCCTCTGACCACCACCAGCAGGCAAATGGGTGAAGTGTTTTGCCCAAGGACACAACGACTGAAACGGATAGAACTGGGGGGTTCGAACCAGCAACACACAGGTTAAAGGATGACTCCACTCTTCCACAGTCACCCCAACTTTAGTTTCAACTAACCTTTTGCAGCTTTTAGCTACTATTTTCCCACTTTAAGGTTTTAGCTGGTGCTTTGCTACTTTCAGTATGTAGTTAGCTGTTTGCTACTCCGCTTTTAGATCACATTTAGCCTTTTTAGCTGATATAGTGTTTTTCTTTTTGAGATTTAACAACTCAGTTTTATTCTTTAGCTAATTTCAGTTCAGCTCACATTGTAAGTAAGTAAAGTCAAGTTTTATTTATAAAGCGCCTTTCACAGAAATATATTCACACGGTGCTGTACAATCATTAACAATGTAAAAATGGTGGAAAGATAAAATTAAACAGAATAAAACATAATAAAACATAAGCAACGTAATGAAACATCAAATCAAGATTGTAACTCAGACACACGGTCGATGCAGACAAAAAACATTGCATTTCTCTAGTTATTTATCAAAAAGCACAAGTCTGCATTTGGCATCACCAGCTGTTTTTTAATTTATGTATTGTTGTACTAAATTTATCCTGATGCTTTTAAAAGATGCTGCAGTAGAAGTTGAGTATTTTAAGTGTAATAAAATGAAGCATTTCCACCTTAAATTAAATCACAGCCATCTTCACTTATCAGATGTTGACTTCCATCACACTGACTCACTCTGAGCTGACTGATGCTGACAGAGGACTCATCCCTCATCTGCCATGTTTAACATTAATGGAGATTACCACAAAGATACTATTCTATTCTAAACCCACTCTACTTAGAAATACAATAATAGAAGCAGGCAAGAGCCCAGCTGGGTGTAACCTTTTCTCAACCTATATGACTTTTAGCTGAAATATACAGTATAAACACATATAAATATAATGTTACAACCTCTATAAGCTATTTACCTGAGTAAAATTATGAAAACATCTTCATTTACATTATATTTGTCATAATAATTATTTAATTGTTTTGTTTGGGAAATAAAAGTTGTATTTCTTGTTTATTTAAGCATTTTTGCATTTTTTTTTCACGTGATTAAAGTAGGATTACACCCTGTGATTTAATATAGGCATTATTTTATTTAAGACTGATGTACTTTCAGGTGAAGCTTCATACAACAATAAGTTAAAGGTAAAACTGTCCCATCAGCAGCTGAGATGTGTTGGCTTACCTTTTTATTTGATTAAAATGTCAAAACTGTTGTTTCCTGCAAATATCCCAACGCTTGCATGGTCCGAGCGTAAGAGCGTCTCATGCTGTCTTCCTATAAACACTGACCAAGCCCATCCACTCTGCTACAGCGGTCAAGGCAGCGYGATTAATGCGCGCTTCCTGTCAGCCCTTTCAAAATAAAACAGAGCTGCACGCTATTTTTCAAGTTTTTAAACATTCGAAGGCGCTATGTTTACCTGGGACCTTTTTAAAAACATTAATAATGTTTTACAACATACATTTATACTATATTTATTATAAAAAAAATTATCAGTATGCACCTGGATTTTCATATCTTTACAATTATTTTTTTATAGTGCCCCTTAAACAATTATAAGAAATTAACGCCATCTGCTGGTTACACTTAGACAATCCGCCAAACTTGATAATCAGATGTTTTGAGTGAAATTTTGCTGCCTTCCAAGAACGGACTTCTTCACTCCATACAWAGGAGATCGTGAAACATTAAGATATTTTATTTTGACATTATCAGATATGTGAATAAAATTAACTTTTAATGCATTTAATGTTTTTATGTGATTTCCTTTAAATTCGTTTTATTTTAAAACGTAACATATCCTCACAATTTACACACAATATCAGTTTCATTCAGAAATAATTAAGTTTTCACGGCGACGTACTTGTTAAGACCCAGTTCACGTAAACGCGTCAACGTGTTTACTGAACGCCCATTGGTCCGTCCCGTCCAATCACAGCGCCAAGCCGGAGCAGCATGCGCCCCACCTTGTTTCGGTCACGTGACGGGAGCTGACGAAGATGGTGGAAGTTTCTCCTTCCTCGAAGTGAAATCCGGTTTGAGACCAAAACAACCAGGCAGGACGAGGTCCGTAGGGTTTACAGCAGCGTCGCCGGATAAATTCGTCAAGTTCTCTTCGGATCTGGGTGAGTTTAAACGCGTCAGCGCCTTGTTTCAGCGCGGCGTTTCGGTTTTTTATTGCCGTCGGACTTTGGGATTCCCAAGCCCGCCGTGATGATCATGACACAGGCCAGCAGTTAGCCGGGCTGAGATGGCAGCAGGTTGGCAGACCAGAAGACGGGCTGGCGTTCAACACGTACTCAGCAACTCCAGCAATTACACGGGTCCCTGCAAATATAATCTGCAATTTAGGATTGTGACCGTTCTTATTCTACCAGCACGCATTGTTCGCGCTGCTCGGCTAAGTTAGCACATTATTATACTTTCACAGTTGGACCTAAATTATATGTTTGTTAGTTTAAAGTGTAAGAAGGCTTTTAGTACAGAATAAACATGGCCGATTTGTTATATAAAACTTTTGTGTATTTTAATAAATCGAGCTGACATGTAGAAAGAACTAAACGCAATTTTTTTGGTGGTGATTATTCACGTCAAGAAACTAAAAGAAATATTTTGCTGACTAAGGACTATTACGGTAACCCGGCCGCACCTGTCATACGTCATTTAAAGGTTATGGATCATTGTTTTCTCTTTTTTTCTCTTTAGGCCTTTTAAAACGTTAGTCATGTTATTAAAGTTTGCCATAACTTCTAGTAAGTATTTATAAATCATTAATAGGAGCATAATTCCCATATAATTAGCATAAATCGTGTCAGGGAAAGGCTTTTTTACACACAGTGTATATACATTTAAATATATGCATTAACGCCCCACAAATTACACTTTATCTGTTTAGAGTAAAGTGCATTTTGCTTCTCCTAAAACAGTGGGAGGGTTTTCTTCTTGAAGCAACATAATTTAGGAACCTGTTTGGCTCTTTCTGCAACTAATCATCAGGAAGTTATGTTGCATGCAGGTGTTGCCGTTAAAAATAAATTTGTTCTTAAATTTATCCTGAAAGAGCTAATCAAAATCATTTTATTAGACATTTTATGTATGTTATAGAGGGTTTTACACACTAGTCTTTACAAAAAATGAATAAAAATACTACTAATAATACAAGAAATAAGAATGTTTGATAATGATGTTGAAATAAACAGCAAAAGAGGATTAATAACCAAATGAACAATAAAACACCTGTTTAAATTTAAATTAAAATCCTTTTCAGGAGCCAGCTTGGTTTTGTTTTGACTGCAGGTAGGAGTTGATGAATAGGGTTCGTGCGACGGCGAGACACCAGAGATATTTTCTGTGAAGTTTTTCCTATCAAGTGCGTCACCATCTGGAGATTCAAGCGTGCAATCTTCCGGTCACAGACTCACCTCTAACCGCTGTACCACCACTTCCCTCCCTGAGTAGGGCTGCCACGATTAAACGACGACAAATTGATTATTAAAATAACCGATGACTAATTTAATAATCGATTATTCACCGATTATTTATTTGATTAGTCGACTAATCA